ATACTTATCAATTTAATGGGTATGAGAAATGATTCCAATAACTTAACAACCTACTCAATCTGAATTTTCTTTACTTCTAAAAGATTGTATTGTTAAAAAGGGAGAATTGACTTGACCCCAAATATTTCATTTGTACCAATCACGGTAACTAAACATTTCAAAAACTAGCATCTGGCGTCCAATCTGACAGAATTTCATATGTTAGTTGACCAAAGGTCAAAGGCCAACCCAATTTTTGATTAATTTTTAAAGGGTAAAAAGTTCAATTTACATTTTTTATGTAAAAAATAATTAAATAAAAAAACCAAAAAAAAAAAAAAGGAAAAAGAACCCCACTCCACCCCCATTCTACATCAGAAAATCAAAAACCCACTATTAATCGTCCCACCACCACCACCACCACCACCACCGTCGGCAGAGCCCAACCAGAGCCCCTTCACGAGCCACCGCGTTTCAGCGAAGATATAGATGTAGAAAGCACTTGTTCTACCCCTTTCGTAAGTGCACCTTCCAGTCCTAGCTATGGCCCTTCTGGTTATTTCTTCAGTGCCCCAGTTAGTCCAATGCACTTCCTGTTATCCAGAGAGAAAAATAAACCTTCTGACCATGAACCCGTTTTATTGTCGTCGGATTCGAGTGAGTTTGAGTTTGAGTTTTCGTCTCGGTTTTCGCCAGATGGATCGGGTGGGTTAAGCTCCATGATTTCAGCTGATGAGTTATTTATAAATGGTCAGATCCGACCCATGAAACTGTTCACCCATGGAGAAGAAGACCAAGATGAAGAAGGTTGCACAAGAGGCAGGGATCTGAAAATGCGCAGTAATAAATACGCTCACCGTAAAGCCAGATCCATGTCGCCATTAAGAACCGCGCAGTACGAATTGCAGAGAGTGAGAAGTGTTCCTACAAATCAAGATCGAGAGAATGATTTGAAAGAAAGTGAAGGTGAATTAGTGCTCTCGAGTGAAACGACGCCGTCAGATTCAGCATCGTCGTCAAGGTCCTCATCATCCGGGAGGAACTCAAAGAAATGGATATTTTTGAAGGAACTATTGCACCGTAGTAAAAGTGAAGGTAGGGCCAATAACAAGGAGAGATTCTGGTCGTCTATTTCATTTTCTCCAGCCAAGGAGAAAAACAACCTGCCGTCGCCGGAGAATAATAAAGAAGAAAATTTAGTGGACACCCAGCGGCAGAAAAAGCAGCGCAAGGTTCCGGCGAACGGCGTGTGGAAAAGAGGAGAGCCGCCGTCAGCTCATGAATTGCATTACACTGCGAACAGGGCTCACTCGGAGGAGATGAAGAAGAAAACATTTCTGCCCTACCGGCAAGGACTTCTAGGGTGTCTTGGATTCGGGTCCAAGAGTTACGGTGCTTTGAGTGAATTTACCAGGACCCGAACTCCTCCCAGAAATAGCTGAAACTGCTAAAAAATTTCAAATTGGAGTCTATGAGAATGAGATTTTTTCTTGGTGATTTGATTATATTTTCCATGTATTATCATGTTTGCTTCTCTTGCTGGAAGCAAGATGTGATTTGTGCTTCTCTTTAGTTCATGCCATGCAATTGATAATTTTCCATGTATTATCATGTATTGATTGATACTATAACAGGTTCCAACAAATCCCACATGGGGTTTTCAGTTAAGTTAGCTGTTCGGTGCAAATTTTGTATGTAATGTTAAGTTCTGACAAGGTCTCAGATTTCACATGGCCAACATTAAATAGATAAGAATCTTGTTGTCTGGTTTGGTTTACTCTGAGAATTCTGTTGGAAGGTAAAATTATGTGCAAGGATAATAATCCTAAAATTGTACATAGGACAATTTTTTCCGGTTTGACTGGCAAGGAAAAGTAAGTGAAAAATAATAATAATAACAATAAAAAAAAGAAAAGGAAATCTTGTCAAAATGGGGGAGGTTATTTCCTTCCAAATGACTAGGAAGAAGACTGTAAACCGAAGAAGTCAATCGATTTGGGTACTTGTTGGGCCGATCAACATATGTGCATCAACATCTCTGTTGGGCCCGTATCTGGCAAGAAGATCGGCCCAATTAACTTATAGAAGAAGCCCGTTCCACATCCGTCTTTTAACATCTACAAAATGTGAGACCATCATATTCGGAGCAGATTGGCAAAGTGGTTTGGACAATCAGTGTGATAAAACTTCCACCAAACCTGGAAGGAAATCAACAAACTAATAAAAGGATTTGGATTTACGTGTAATATTATTTTATTGAAAAATGTGTGGTTGAAATTATATCAAAACACTGTTGAAGAATTTATTTTCTCCAAAGAATGAGGATCAAACAAGGCTAAAAGCCGTGTCACTGATCATATTGTGACGAATGCAGACGATCGACACAGCTTTATATAGCAATTTCACTTATTTATTCTATAATCTATCCTCATTTGTTCGTTAAAAGGTTATCGCCGAAATCCTTTCAGCGTGAGCAGGAGAAAATTCTTAGGAAGTAATACTCACTTTATTATTATTTTTTGTTGTAATGGGTGAAATATTTTCAGTTTTACAACAAATATCATAGCAGTATTAAGCTATCTATATATTTTCTTAAATCACCTTACATATTAGGGAAAATTGCAGCTGAAGTATCAAACCTTTCGTTTATTAGCAGACTTTATCCGAATCTTTCATTTGTATCACCGGAGGTACCAAACCTTTAAAAAATTCTCACCCTGAGTCCAAATTGACAGAAATCGTTAGTTTGACTGTTATTGACCAAAAATCAAAGGTCTGACCAATTGTTGACGGATTTTTAAGGGGTAACTGTGTAACTTTGAATTAAAATTAAAAATCAAAAAATAAAATAAAAAAGCAACTGTTCATCTTCTTCTCCTTGCACCCACCCCCATACCCTACCTCCCTCTGAACGCAACCAAATGAAACCTACCACCATACCTTCATCACCGCCCATCGACATAAATACCATCTATGGCTGTAGCTACTGTGGCTTCGACAACTGTCTTGAACTCCCTAAATGTGGCTGCTGCGGTGGTTGGCTCTGCTTCGGGTTTTGCTGGGGATGCTCCATCATCGCCCCACTCACTAATGTCAATGCGCCACCACTGAAATCCAGCTACCTGGCCGACTTCATCGCTGAAATATCCGCTGTCATCTCTACTGGAGTAGCCTCCAGTTGTTGTGAACTTTTTGAAGGGAGCTCCTCTCCCTCTTGCTCCATTCAAAAAACCAAAAACAACGAAATTCACTAAATAACAAACTTCTATAAGAAATCCAATAAATAAAAGTCGAATTTAAGTGTATTCTTCACAAGAATCCCCAAAATCGAATGAATTTGAAATAGAAATATCATAAAATCACTAAATTCGAACGAAACATAATTTTATTATTTCATTACTCGAAGAGCTTAGATTCAAACCAAAAATCTGTCAAAACACTATTTCATTTGTGGATACTAGTGATGGGCGTTGTGGATGCTGGCAATGGGCGATAATGAGGGTGTGGTGGTGGGTTTCTTTTGGTTAGGTTCATGGGGAGGTGGGGTATGAGGGTAGGTGCAGGGAGGAGAAGATGAACAGTTGCTTTTGATTTTTTTTTTTCTGTTTTTTAATTTTAATTCGAAGTTACACATTTGCCCCTTTAAAAATCAGTCAATAATTGGCCAGGCCTTTGATTTTTGGTGAATAACAGTCAAACTAACGGTCTCTGTCAATTTGGATTCTGGGTGCGAATTTTCTAAAGGTTTTGTACCTCCGATGGCACAAATGAAAGGTTTGGGTAAAGTCTGCTGATAAACGAAAGGTTTGGTACCTCGACTACAATTTTCCTTACATATTATTTGATAAACAATTATTCAACCTTCGATTTTTTGTTTTAATCAAAGTCTTTACTTAAACGTCAAATAAAATATTATTGAAAGCCTAAATATCAAGAATAATACTATCTAATACCAGTTTAGATGGCTATGAGCGTCCACCCATACTTCTACAATAGATTAAAATGCATCTAGAGGCCGTTTGGTACTGATTAAAAATCTGATTTTAATTTAAGTCAAAGTCAAACAATCAATATTAACCACATCTTTCATGAATCCCATAATTTTTCATCCACATATTTTAAAAACTTCTATCACAATCTACTAAAACTCTAAGGCACCGTTTGATTCAATAAAAATTTCCCTATAAAATGGAATTTAGATTCCAACTTCCACAAAAAAGGTGTTTGATAGCTTATATTTACCGTGGAATTGAATTTCTTAGATTTCTTGAAAATTGCACTTTTTATTGTTTTCAAGGAATTTGAAATGGTGAGAATTCAAATTCTAGTCTACTGTAGCATTTTAATTTTTTTCCTCTTTTTTTTTTTATTTTTGGCAATGGAAATCAATTCTAAGAATTATTGTAAAAAATTATTTCTCTTTAATTGACAATTTTCATGTAAAATAAAGTCAAACAAACACCAAAAGATAGATGATTTTCTTGAATTTTTTATTTTTTTTGTTGGCAATGAAAACAAATTTCATTCCCAATACTAGTAAAATCTATCCATTTAATTGACAATTTTCATGTAAAATAAAGTCAAACGAATACCAAAAAATACTTTTATTTTAACATTTTTCACGTGGAAAATTATACCAATCAAACACAATAATTTACAATTCTCAGAAAAACAATTTCTAGGCAATTCAATTCCCTAAAATTCATTTTCAATTCAATTCAATTCTATCTTTGCAATCAAATGGACCCTAATTTAAATCCCTACCAAACACCCTCTTAAATTTATTGAACATTTCAAAATAAACCTAATTTTCACCTAAGATAGCAATAATCACCATTGGTGCTATTTAGCCCCCGTTTGAGCCCCATTATTTCTCATTACGTTAAATTAAAATTTTCTTTCTCATACTTTTAACCGCATAATTTTCAATAAAATAATATTACACGTAAATAATTTTTTTTTTCAAACACTCATTTTTCAAAAAAAATAATATTATTTATCCCATTATAATGCCAAATAATAGAGTTCAAACACACCCTTAATTTTAATATTACTCAAACACCACCTACCTCGAATAATTAATGTGGACCGTGCAAACAAAATTTACATGTCGAGGTCTATATGGGCCAGCATCACGGACTGACCCATTTCAATTATCAATATTCAGTAGCCTATGATAAAAAATATTATCCAGGTTGGGGTATGATCAGCATTATCATCATTTATCCTCATAAAAATCTCATTCAACTGTGTAAATATTTCACAATGATACAAGAGATATAAGATAATTAATTTTAATTTTATATTGTTTAAAAACTACTAGTTGCAGTTGACAAAGTGAATTGACACTCATTGATGGTCTAGAAATATCGAGCAATTCTGATAATATTCAATAGATATGTCAAATACATGGCATTGATTGCTAACAGTTTGTATGAAAAGAAACAGAATCAATGCAAAGTTTAAGAATGTTCATTGGAATAAACCTAGAAGCACTAGCAGAAAGTTATCTTTTTCACTAAATATTGTCTAATAAGACAACATTCCATTGGAAGATATTCTCGGTAGTTGTAATTCTAGAATAGGAGCGCCGTGACACATGCTTAACGTCTTCTCACAGATGGGTAAAAGTACTAGATCAAATCAGTCAATTTGGTTCAATTTTACTTAAACTCAATTCATCAAAGTTTCTAGCTATATCTTGTAATGACATTGATATTTCTCGTCACAATCAATCAGTCCGATAAAGTTTGACATTTTGTATATCCATTAATGAAAAAACACAAAATTTGACTATAGAATTCAAAAAAATAGAACGATAAAAGATATGTGCACAGATCGCCAAAATTTTGACTAAATGATTCAAAAAAATAGAACGATAAAAGATATGTGCACAGATCGCGAAAACCATCGCATCTTTATTTCTCTAAACACAAAGGAAACTTTTTATACAGGACAGTGAATTATCAACAATAAACACACTTATCTTTCGTTAGTTTTTATATAGAATTTAAGACAATTAACACCCATTAACTGCTTGGGTCTACAAAAATCGAAAACAAAGGCCAATTAGCCAAGATAACCAACCCAAAATGTCTGCACTTCCGTCCACTAATTCAACTTGCACATATTTTATTTGCCGTCGAATGCATGCTCCCCAACTGCATTCGTCCATGTCAATACGCTGCCTTATTTCCATTCCAGGGTTAGTTTTGTGTTAATCCACCTTTTTCTAGAAGGAGTCGAATGGTAAGCAGATAATTACAAAATAAAAGCCTGTTTGGGCCCCATTTTTTACCAAAAAAATTGATTTTTTGACCGTTATTTCACTATTCCAGCCGTCATATTTGACTTCTTCTCTCACAGGTGGATCCCACTTTTCTCCGAACGATCAAAAAATCAAATCTCAAAATCACTCCCAAACAGGTTCTAAATGTCTTTTGATAGCCAACAAGTTGAAACACAATATTATTACAATAATAACGCAATTATTATAATAGAAGCACATCACTCGTTGTCAAATTCGCAAACAAGTTATTGACACATAAGAAAGCTTTTGGTTAATTTTAAACATCACCGTTTTACTTATTTTTTATTTTTATTTATTTATTTATTTTTTTTGCAAAAGTAGGTTTTTGTATTGTTTTGAAAAAGTAGAATTTTTATTTTTTAATTAGCTTTTTCGCTAATATTAAAATATAGAAATAGAAAAAGGGCGAACAGGGTTTAGCAGAGGACGAGAAAGTGTGAAACCCTTGGTTGGACCTGGACCCATAACCCAGTATAAAAGGAGAGCGACTTGTGTTTGAAACGAGGAAGGGGCATTCTCTATATTCGCTCGGACATTTAAACGGACCTCTGGTGTGCCGCAAAAATCTACACGGAGGCATATAATTTGCAAAGATAAAGTCGAAGTAATTAAAGATGAAGTACGTTTTGGTTACCGGTGGTGTTGTGAGCGGGCTCGGAAAAGGTGTCACCGCCAGCAGCGTCGGAGTTGTTCTCAAAGCTTGTGGCCTTCGTGTTACATCTATTAAAATTGGTCAGTTTTTCTACGGGTGGTTATTATTTTAGATTTGTGACTTGACGATGAGTTAATTGCTGATTCATTTTTGCTGCGATCTGGTGGTGTGTTGCCATTTGTTTGAAAAGAGTGCTATAGTTTTTACTTATGTTTTCTGGGTTTACTTGGAATTTAGCTTAGTGTTTGGTGTGATTTATCTTCCTCTCATGCTTTTTATTTATTTTTAGCATGGGTGATTTTTAATTTTTGATCAAATGGTAATTTGCATATGTTGCATCCATATGAATATTCTGTATCGTACATACATTAGCTATTTCTGTATTTTTTTGGTCCTTTAATTACGAATTTGGTTACATGCTTGGTGTTTGAGGTATTTATGTTCTTCTCTCTTGACAGATCCTTACTTGAATACTGATGCTGGTACCATGTCTCCATTTGAGCATGGGGAGGTTTTCGTTCTGGATGATGGCGGAGAGGTTACCTCATCCTTCTCTTCACTCATTCGGAATATCATAGGTTTTAGGTTTCAGTTGTTTCAATGATCTGAAGAATGCTGCAAGCACCAAATTTAATCTGAAAATAGTTATTTTATTTCTCTTTCTTCGTCAAATAGTTATATAATGCAATCACTTCATTATATTTCATCTGCTTACTCTCATTATATTATGTTCTCTCTCAAAACTACGTACTAGATATCTCGCGAGTTTGACTTCTTCACATTATCATGTTTAGACAGACAAATATTCTCTGCCATCTATTATAGGAGTCAAAGTAAAAACATGCTCGTAATCATTAGCTATTCTGATAATAGTCGACTTTTGTTGCCCTCAATTTGCATCAGAGTGGAAGTGTATTTTGCGTGCAAATTGAATGTGTAACTTTCTTTCGAGCTCCCAGTATCCTTTTCTTCTCAGTTTATTGTCAATGAAAATACCTTGACTAATTGTATTAAATTTGATTTCCATTTTGAAATTCTGGAATCTGATGCAGGCATGAAGCCTGTAAATTGGCATCTCTTACTCCTGTGGAATATTCATATCTCTAATGATTATGTTATATTCTCCCAGTTGTTTATTAACAATCTCTAATGCTTGTTGTTCTCTGAAATTTCCTGCTTATTTCACCTTCAAAATTATTATCTCATAATTCTATTTCTACTGCATTGTTTTAATAGGTAGATCTAGACTTGGGTAACTATGAGCGATTTTTGGACGTGACACTTACGAGAGAGAACAATATTACAACAGGAAAGATATATCAGGTGCCTGTAAAGCTAATTTGACTGCTTGAGATATGGTTTTATGCTTATATTAAACTTACCCTGTTTTTCATTTGTCAGTCTGTTCTTGAAAAGGAACGGAAAGGCGATTATCTTGGGAAGACTGTGCAGGTTGTGCTATATTCATTAGTAATTTAGCATTTGGTACATCTGAAATTAGAGAAGAGAGTGAGTACTTATTCTTGTTATTTGTTCTGCATTCCTGATTTAACTGCAGGTAGTCCCCCACATCACCGATGCCATCAAGAATTGGATTGAATCAGTCTCTGTTATTCCCGTGGATGGGACAGATGGGCCTGCAGATGTTTGTGTCATAGAACTGGGAGGGACTGTAGGTACAACTCTTTCTGGATGAAAGAAATTCTCTCACCGAAACTTTAAACATTTCTCTTTTTTTTTTTTTGTCTATCTGTTTTTTCCTGCACAATAATCCAAGAAATGTTTTCCCTAGGCGATATTGAGTCAATGCCATTCATTGAAGCTCTGAGACAATTGTTCTTCTCAGTTGGTAAATTTGCATTATTTGCTGAATTTTTCAATGGCTTGTTCAAAACATGTACAAATGTTTTGCATGCCTATTTTTTAAAATTTTGTGAGATTATTATTAGTTTTTGTACTGATCTCCTTTTATTTTGGCGCACAGGACAAGATCATTTCTGTCTGATTCATGTCAGTCTTATTCCCGTTCTTGGCGTTGTGGGTGAGCAAGTAATACTCTATGCCTCTTGGTTGTAAGCTTTAGTATCTGTTTGAATGATCAAAATACTGATGTTCCAGGATACAAATTTATCTTCCATCATCTTCCTTTTGAACTTAAATTGTATCTCTGTGTATGCATGTTTGCAGAAAACAAAGCCCACGCAGCATAGTGTGCGAGAATTGAGAGCATTAGGTTTGACTCCTCATTTTCTGGCATGTCGTTCTGCTCAGGTGTGGATGCATTACTCTTTTGCTCTGAATAAATTTATAGACAAGTTGAATAGGATATTGCATTTCATGCACCTCACCTAGATAGATTGGATTTGTTTTGCTCACACATCTTTTCTTGTTAAATATTATTATAGAAATATATGGTTAGGGCTTGAGTTGTTGTGCAGCAACACTCTAATTATGGTATCGACATTCTGGTTTCAGTAATGTGGACTGTGGTTGGTATGCATTAAATATGCATGTCTCATCAACATTATTGACCTCTAATGTGGTCTTGACGTCATGTGTGTTTGTTGCAGCCGTTGTTGGAGAATACAAAGCAGAAATTGTCACAGTTTTGCCATGTCCCTGTAAGTTGTCATTCATAATACTTGTTGTAGGACTTTTCAAATTGGACACTCTCTCCTTTTATTCTTTTGTAATGGTTTTTTGCTATCGCAGGTTGGAAATATTCTTAATATCCATGACGTTCCAAACATTTGGCACGTTCCTCTTCTGCTCCGGGTGGGTAATATTCTGTTGAGGGCTTGGCACTAACCTACGTTTTGCACTATTAAGATATTCATCCCTGATTTCTGATGTTCTTTTGTCCAGAACCAAAATGCACATGATGCCATTCTAAAACATTTAGACTTATCGAGGTAAGTTCTTATCAGAGTATTTTAGCCTCTTACATGCAGTTTCACCTGCTGTTACTGTTAACCTTTGAGTCAAACAAAATAGAGACGATCTTAAATTTGGATCCTGTATTCTGTGTGCAGTAAGATATTTCACTATAAATGTTCTAATCCAATCACATATATCGTGTGTACAAATTTAAAATGATCTAGCTTAACCATATCTTCTAGGCTTGTATTTCTCACATTTATCGACGCTCGTTGCAGTGTTGCGAAGCCTCCTAACTTGCAAGAATGGACCAAGAGAGCTGAGACGTTTGACAGCCTCACTAACTCTGTTAGTAGAAATTACCTTCAAGTCACATTTTTCACTGAATTTATCCTGACATTGGATGAAAGAAATGATTGCTAATGCAGGTAAGAATTGCAATGGTGGGAAAGTACGTTGGGATGTCTGATTCTTATTTGTCCGTTGTCAAGGTGTGACTATATTATTTAACTCCAACCGTCATTAAGCCAATGTCTTTATTTGCTCAAATCAGAATTTATTGTTTTGCTCTGTTCCATTTGCAGGCCCTCCTGCATGCATGCATTGCGTGTTCATCGAAGCCAATGATTGACTGGATTGCAGCTTCAGATCTAGAAGATGATAGTGCAAATTTGGTACGGAATTCAACAGTCCCATTATGTAACCATTTTTATCTGCGTGTTTTTCATTTGTGCCTGATTGTACTCATGCTATTTATGCTCCAGACACCTGAAGCTCATGCAGCTGCATGGAAAACTCTAGAGGTAATCACTACACACTGCATTTTTTGTCATCATCATTCTTTTATCCCCAAGGTAATTATGTCAGAAACCATAGTTTATTAGCTGTGCTGAGATTTGTAATCTGCGATATGCATATAACTAGTTTCTCGATTTCTTGAACTCTTCGAATTTTTTGGGGCTTCTAATAAGTATCAGTAAACTTATGGCCATAGTGTTATTCCCTTCTGTTTGTTGATGTTGAAGTTGTGGTTGTAGTGTGCTAGATATGTCATCATGGTACATATTTTCTCTGTTGCCATGAAAGGAATGGCATTTTACTGAATCACGACGATTGTCATTATTATATTTGTCAATGTGCCAATATTTCTCCTACTCCTACCTGCTCCATTGTGGAGTCTCCTGTGGCAAAAGTTTCGGCTCCTTCATTGTGGGTTTCCTTTTTCTGTCCTAGCTACATGTTGTCGAGTAGCATGATGATCCTAAATTTGTGAACTGGCTGAAAATTGTGTTGATACCAAAAGAAATCATGTTTTCAGAATGCTGCATGTGTTTTGGTTCCTGGTGGGTTTGGAGATCGTGGTGTGAAAGGGATGATATTGGCCGCAAAATATGCGAGAGAAAATAAAGTTCCCTATCTTGGGATTTGCTTGGGGATGCAGATATCTGTGATTGAGATCGCGAGATCTGTAAGTAATTTCTTTTTATAATCATGGACTTGTTCTTGTTTTTTATGATCAAGGACTACCCACTTCCACGCTATGCAGGTTTTGGGCTTGGAAAGGGCAAACAGTACTGAGTTTGATGATAAGACTCCCGATCCTGTCGTAATTTTTATGCCAGAGGTAGTTACTTCATTTTATAGTTTGAAGGGATATTCTTTAAATCAAATGACAAATGTATTATCTTTTCTATATGTGCCCCCAGGGTTCAAAAACACATATGGGAAGCACAATGAGACTTGGTTGTCGAAGAACGTTATTTCAGAATCCAGATTGTATCACAGCAAAGCTGTAAGAAATAAGCTGCATCATTCCATTTAAAATGTTGCAATGCCCTAAGAGTTTAAGCATTAAACAAGAATGCCACTTACAGAACCACAAAATACTTGTTCGTCTCCTCTTGACAATTAGTTGAATGGACTGATATGGCAAGTTCATAATTGATAACAAATTTTATGAAAGTTTCATCTCTGATTGCTTCTCTTGCAAACAATATGATCTTCAAATTTTCAAGTGTTAATATTAACACCACCTGAATTGCAAATTAGTTTGAGTACTTCGATTGAAGCTTCAAGTTCTGGTGATTATTTCTTTTGATTAGCTGCAATAAAAGAATTATCTGTTCTCTCCTTGGTTCAGGCATGTACTTCTTTTACTTACAGCTTTGTGAAAGTTCTGCATGATAGTTTAAATTATATTCTTTCCAGAACTGGAGTTTTGAAGAGATTATCACCTTTGTATTCTGCAAATAGAACCTGTTTGATCCCACAATATTTTTTTGTTCATAAACTATTCTAACAATCTCTCTCTAAAGGTATCACAATTCGGATTACGTGGATGAACGACATCGACATAGATACGAGGTTAATTGATATTACTTAACAGTCACTATTTGATAGACATTTTATTATCAAGAAAACTACATACTTCCTCATCAATTGTTGCAGGTGAACCCGGAGATGGTTAGCATTTTAGAAGAATCTGGCTTGAAATTTGTTGGGAAGGATGAAAGTGGGAAGCGAATGGAGGTTATCTATCTTTAACTTATTTTTTGTTGTAGAATTAATTGTCTTATTTATTTAAGGTTTGCTTATGCTCGCGTGCCTAAAATGCTAATTTATCAGTAGCATAGTAACCCAATCTTTTTCATTGATTTGTGCAGTTACATGTTGAGGTTTCATGATGCTGAATTTCTTCCTCTTTACATCTAATCACTCCTATTTCTGCAGATTTTGGAGCTTCCAGACCATCCTTTTTACGTTGGAGTGCAGTTTCATCCGGAATTCAAGTCCCGGCCAGGGAGACCCTCAGCTCTTTTTCTAGGTAAAATCAGTTATAAATTTCTTGCAAAATCACTTTACATGAAAAGTGCAAATGAGGGGGTTACTACGATGGCTGTATGCTGGCTCTTGGTTGATTTGTTGTTTCAGACAAACGTCAAGATATAATTTGATAGCTGTAGAACCACCTGAATTGGTTGTTTCATGTCTTCAGCAAATGTTACTGCCTATTTTTCTACAATTTTTACCACTGAATTAGAATTTGATTGTTTGTTGTCTTACATTGTGGTACACGTTGCTTTTCATTGGAGTTTTTGATTGACTAGATTTCGATTACCTTCTGGGCAAGGTTCATGAACTGATACCAAAGAGGTTCTAATAGTGAATGCTACTTTTTTAGGTTTTATATTGGCAGCAACTGGACAGCTAGAAGTGTATCTCAGGAATCCTCAGAATGGAAGCTTGTAGGTGGTGGAACTCATAATGAGTCCATCATTCCTAGGTTATAAAGGTACTTCAATTTATCAAATTATTTATTTATTTTTTCCCCTTTGCATGATTAAATTCATTAACTCCTGATTAAATTCATTAACTCCTCTTTTTGGGGTTTTGCGTGGAGGGTAAGCAAATCTAACCAAGAAAAACAGTAGGTTAAGGCTTAGTCTGATTTACTTAATAAGTTTGAGATTGAGGTTGAGCTTGGTTAAATTCCTGACTGGTCAATCTTAAGCTGTCCGTAGATCAAGCTGAACATGAATTGAGCTAGAGTAACTCCATACTTTTCTATACAGTTTTATTGCCTTTATATTTTGTCCATCAATCTTGAGCCATGGACAAGCAATCCAACGCGTTCAAGCATGCTTGTCTGCATTTTCTAATTAAGGGTATTTCGCCCTTTTATCCTCAGATGCATATATCCCTATGGAATGGAAGACCTCTTGTTTCATAGTGCTTGTAGTTTTTACTAGATCATCTGGCCGGCATTTTCTTGCTGTCTCTGTGGGCCTCAGACCTGAATTATCTAATATATCTATCAATGGGTTTTTGGTATATAAGTGCAACGCTTAGCTTCTCAAGCTCCCGATCCTATTTTGCCTTGTGGATATCTGGGACTCTGTTGTTACTCTCTTAAGTTGGACTACAATTGCATGTTGGTCTAAACTAGTTAGTTAGCCACTTCAAAATATGGAACGGCTTTGCCATGTATTAGTCCGAACCCCTCAGACCAATCTTCACCTCAGTTTTTAGAAGCACCTTTCATCATCTTCTGATCCACCATTATTAATCTATAGATAACTAAACATGGGCCAATTTAAGCAGAGTGAACGTTCAGGGTTGCATTTTCATTTTGATTGTGTGTTCTTTATCAATAGGTAAAGGAAAATTTGTATCTAAAAGAGCTTTAATTGGGTGCAGTGGATGCAGGACAACAGTTAGTTACTTTCACGGGATGAAACTAAATTCTTGGTGTTGTACAATCATCAGATCTCTATGATCATCTCCTGTATTGAACGACACCCTTTGAACTAGAAGCAGATTGCGATTCTGTTTTGTGGCGAGTTTTTATTCATGAAATGGTGACCTGTTTTCACGCCAATTGTAAGAATACATCAATGGGACAAAGTCCCTGAGTGCTTTTATGAATGTACTAACCCTGGTTGCCACAAGCAGAGTTTTCTAGTAATTGACCAAAATGTTCGTAAACGATCGGATATTTGGAATTTGGGTTTTCTATTCTTTTAAGGACTCTGGAAATAAATATGGATGTACCCAGTGAAATTTTTTTATGCCTTTTTTTGTACCCTCTGTTTCTGACTAGGGGGGTTCGAACACCCCTTTCTAATTTTTCAACAAACTAGGTGTGAAATTTTATTCAGTTTGATAATTAAACAGGTAAAAACCTTGACAATTGCACTAAAAGGAGGGGGCAAACTGAAAATTACGTCAAATCACAAATTTGGGGAAAATTGATAATCTGTTTCACAAATTGGAAAACACGTTGCAAAAACAAATCAGCAAGAAGATTTTCGTCAAATCACCGTTCTTGTAAGCAAAATTGTAATCCACGAGCGGTGAGAATGTGCCCTAATTTATTTTATTCTCCTAAATCCATTAAATTTCAAAATCCGAGCCTTCGTATCTAATTTTTACCCTTTATATCAACGAAATTTGAGGTAGCATCAAAATTGTGGAACTCATAATGAGTCCATCATTCCTAGGTTATAAAGGTACTTCAATTTATCAAATTATTTATTTATTTTTTCCCCTTTGCATGATTAAATTCATTAACTCCTGATTAAATTCATTAACTCCTCTTTTTGGGGTTTTGCGTGGAGGGTAAGCAAATCTAACCAAGAAAAACAGTAGGTTAAGGCTTAGTCTGATTTACTTAATAAGTTTGAGATTGAGGTTGAGCTTGGTTAAATTCCTGACTGGTCAATCTTAAGCTGTCCGTAGATCAAGCTGAACATGAATTGAGCTAGAGTAACTCCATACTTTTCTATACAGTTTTATTGCCTTTATATTTTGTCCATCAATCTTGAGCCATGGACAAGCAATCCAACGCGTTCAAGCATGCTTGTCTGCATTTTCTAATTAAGGGTATTTCGCCCTTTTATCCTCAGATGCATATATCCCTATGGAATGGAAGACCTCTTGTTTCATAGTGCTTGTAGTTTTTACTAGATCATCTGGCCGGCATTTTCTTGCTGTCTCTGTGGGCCTCAGACCTGAATTATCTAATATATCTATCAATGGGTTTTTGGTATATAAGTGCAACGCTTAGCTTCTCAAGCTCCCGATCCTATTTTGCCTTGTGGATATCTGGGACTCTGTTGTTACTCTCTTAAGTTGGACTACAATTGCATGTTGGTCTAAACTAGTTAGTTAGCCACTTCAAAATATGGAACGGCTTTGCCATGTATTAGTCCGAACCCCTCAGACCAATCTTCACCTCAGTTTTTAGAAGCACCTTTCATCATCTTCTGATCCACCATTATTAATCTATAGATAACTAAACATGGGCCAATTTAAGCAGAGTGAACGTTCAGGGTTGCATTTTCATTTTGATTGTGTGTTCTTTATCAATAGGTAAAGGAAAATTTGTATCTAAAAGAGCTTTAATTGGGTGCAGTGGATGCAGGACAACAGTTAGTTACTTTCACGGGATGAAACTAAATTCTTGGTGTTGTACAATCATCAGATCTCTATGATCATCTCCTGTATTGAACGACACCCTTTGAACTAGAAGCAGATTGCGATTCTGTTTTGTGGCGAGTTTTTATTCATGAAATGGTGACCTGTTTTCACGCCAATTGTAAGAATACATCAATGGGACAAAGTCCCTGAGTGCTTTTATGAATGTACTAACCCTGGTTGCCACAAGCAGAGTTTTCTAGTAATTGACCAAAATGTTCGTAAACGATCGGATATTTGGAATTTGGGTTTTCTATTCTTTTAAGGACTCTGGAAATAAATATGGATGTACCCAGTGAAATTTTTTTATGCCTTTTTTTGTACCCTCTGTTTCTGACTAGGGGGGTTCGAACACCCCTTTCTAATTTTTCAACAAACTAGGTGTGAAATTTTATTCAGTTTGATAATTAAACAGGTAAAAACCTTGACAATTGCACTAAAAGGAGGGGGCAAACTGAAAATTACGTCAAATCACAAATTTGGGGAAAATTGATAATCTGTTTCACAAATTGGAAAACACGTTGCAAAAACAAATCAGCAAGAAGATTTTCGTCAAATCACCGTTCTTGTAAGCAAAATTGTAATCCACGAGCGGTGAGAATGTGCCCTAATTTATTTTATTCTCCTAAATCCATTAAATTTCAAAATCCGAGCCTTCGTATCTAATTTTTACCCTTTATATCAACGAAATTTGAGGTAGCATCAAAAATTTGGATAGTTTCTAGTTGAAATGTGTTTTAGGTTAAAAGTTCAAGAATTGTATTGTCGACCAAGTTGCAATAGATGCGGGAAATCTCCATTAAACATAGAGACAATAATTTTTTTGGATCTTGGTGCCACTTTGTAAAGGAAACCAATTGCACACCAAAATACGTAACTTGGGGACTTCCGTGCCAAAAAACAAAAGTAAGATATTGTAGGAAGTATACTGCACGGTTTATAAAACTACATTCACTCAATTGTACATTTTTAAAATTACGGCACTCTCAAATTTAAAATAGAATTAACATTCAATTTTTTAACTAAACTTTGTCAAACTGAAGAGGCGCAGAGGGGTGTGCCCTCAAATTGACCGTTGACACAGGTGGGACTGGCCAAAAAAAGATGGCCTCGATCGTGGTGGTAACAGACACCGACGGCGGAGACCGCACTCCTCTACTTCAGAACTCACAACCTGAGGATTCGCGGGGAGATGTGACGGTCAGAGACGGAGAAACTGTCTATTCGACGGCGCCAGTGGAGGAGCTACCAGATAAATCAGAGTCTAATATTTCAACTGATCCTAAACAACGACTTGTCTCTCTCGACGTTTTCCGAGGCATCACTATCGCGGTATGTCACCTTGATTGTATTTAATAAAATTATGCTTTCATTTCATTTCGTTCTTTAATTTCAATGCACTCGATGAATTTCGGTTACTTCAGATAACTATTTCTCTATTTGTTATTAGTTCATCTTTTACTTTAGTGTTTAAAAGTTCTTTTGTAATCTCGTTTACCCTTTCGTTGGCAGCTGATGATTTTAGTTGATGATGCTGGAAAAGCTTTTCCATCGATAAACCACGCACCGTGGTTCGGAGTGACAATCGCCGACTTTGTGATGCCGTTTTTTCTCTTTGGTGTTGGTGTCTCTGTGAGTCTTGTGTTCAAGGTATTGACAATTCTCACTTGAATTCTTTTGATTCTTTATAAGGAAGGAATTTGTTAATGCTCCAACTTGTTGGAAAGAACGAGATATAAGGGAAAAGACATGATTTCCCAACATAAAGCCTTTCCTTACATCTTATTTAGTAGTTCATGTTATATTGATGGTCTTTTTGACTTCAGATTAAGAGTAGATGTCTCTAATGCTGAAGCTATTCTTGTTGTTTTAAGTCAACTGGTAAAAGCGTGTTCATGTTTTCTACACAGAAAGTACCTAACAAATCAGCAGCTACAAAGAAAGTTATATTGAGGACCATTAAGCTTTTTCTCTTGGGAGTAATTCTTCAAGGTGTGTTATATATCTTTATTGTTTCCTACAACTGGAAAATACAAACTATAAAAGGTTACACCATATGTTTGCTTGTAGTTTTTACTAGATCATCTGGCCGGCATTTTCTTGCTGTCTCTGTGGGCCTCAGACCTGAATTATCTAATATATCTATAAATGGGTTTTTGGTATATAAGTGCAATGTGTTATATATCTTTATTGTTTCCTACAACTGGAAAATACAAACTATAAAAGGTTACACCATATGTTTAGATCAGTCAAATTGTGAAACGCATATTGTGTGAAAACATGCCTTTGCCCTTAATAAGCGAAGAAAATGATTTTTCAACAGTTAGTTACTTTCACGGGATGAAACTAAATTCTTGGTGTTGTACAATCATCAGATCTCTATGATCATCTCCTGTATTGAACGACACCCTTTGAACTAGAAGCAGATTGCGATTCTGTTTTGTGGCGAGTTTTTATTCATGAAATGGTGACCTGTTTTCACGCCAATTGTAAGAATACATCAATGGGACAAAGTCCCTGAGTGCTTTTATGAATGTACTAACCCTGGTTGCCACAAGCAGAGTTTTCTAGTAATTGACCAAAATGTTCGTAAACGATCGGATATTTGGAATTTGGGTTTTCTATTCTTTTAAGGACTCTGGAAATAAATATGGATGTACCCAGTGAAATTTTTTTATGCCTTTTTTTGTACCCTCTGTTTCTGACTAGGGGGGTTCGAACACCCCTTTCTAATTTTTCAACAAACTAGGTGTGAAATTTTATTCAGTTTGATAATTAAACAGGTAAAAACCTTGACAATTGCACTAAAAGGAGGGGGCAAACTGAAAATTACGTCAAATCACAAATTTGGGGAAAATTGATAATCTGTTTCACAAATTGGAAAACACGTTGCAAAAACAAATCAGCAAGAAGATTTTCGTCAAATCACCGTTCTTGTAAGCAAAATTGTAATCCACGAGCGGTGAGAATGTGCCCTAATTTATTTTATTCTCCTAAATCCATTAAATTTCAAAATCCGAGCCTTCGTATCTAATTTTTACCCTTTATATCAACGAAATTTGAGGTAGCATCAAAAATTTGGATAGTTTCTAGTTGAAATGTGTTTTAGGTTAAAAGTTCAAGAATTGTATTGTCGACCAAGTTGCAATAGATGCGGGAAATCTCCATTAAACATAGAGACAATAATTTTTTTGGATCTTGGTGCCACTTTGTAAAGGAAACCAATTGCACACCAAAATACGTAACTTGGGGACTTCCGTGCCAAAAAACAAAAGTAAGATATTGTAGGAAGTATACTGCACGGTTTATAAAACTACATTCACTCAATTGTACATTTTTAAAATTACGGCACTCTCAAATTTAAAATAGAATTAACATTCAATTTTTTAACTAAACTTTGTCAAACTGAAGAGGCGCAGAGGGGTGTGCCCTCAAATTGACCGTTGACACAGGTGGGACTGGCCAAAAAAAGATGGCCTCGATCGTGGTGGTAACAGACACCGACGGCGGAGACCGCACTCCTCTACTTCAGAACTCACAACCTGAGGATTCGCGGGGAGATGTGACGGTCAGAGACGGAGAAACTGTCTATTCGACGGCGCCAGTGGAGGAGCTACCAGATAAATCAGAGTCTAATATTTCAACTGATCCTAAACAACGACTTGTCTCTCTCGACGTTTTCCGAGGCATCACTATCGCGGTATGTCACCTTGATTGTATTTAATAAAATTATGCTTTCATTTCATTTCGTTCTTTAATTTCAATGCACTCGATGAATTTCGGTTACTTCAGATAACTATTTCTCTATTTGTTATTAGTTCATCTTTTACTTTAGTGTTTAAAAGTTCTTTTGTAATCTCGTTTCCCCTTTCGTTGGCAGCTGATGATTTTAGTTGATGATGCTGGAAAAGCTTTTCCATCGATAAACCACGCACCGTGGTTCGGAGTGACAATCGCGGACTTTGTGATGCCGTTTTTTCTCTTTGGTGTTGGTGTCTCTGTGAGTCTTGTGTTCAAGGTATTGACAATTCTCACTTGAATTCTTTTGATTCTTTATAAGGAAGGAATTTGTTAATGCTCCAACTTGTTGGAAAGAACGAGATATAAGGGAAAAGACATGATTTCCCAACATAAAGCCTTTCCTTACATCTTATTTAGTAGTTCATGTTATATTGATGGTCTTTTTGACTTCAGATTAAGAGTAGATGTCTCTAATGCTGAAGCTATTCTTGTTGTTTTAAGTCAACTGGTAAAAGCGTGTTCATGTTTTCTACACAGAAAGTACCTAACAAATCAGCAGCTACAAAGAAAGTTATATTGAGGACCATTAAGCTTTTTCTCTTGGGAGTAATTCTTCAAGGTGTGTTATATATCTTTATTGTTTCCTACAACTGGAAAATACAAACTATAAAAGGTTACACCATATGTTTAGATCAGTCAAATTGTGAAACGCATATTGTGTGAAAACATGCCTTTGCCCTTAATAAGCGAAGAAAATGATTTGTCCTTTTAGTTACATAATTTTTTAATATTTACTAATTGTGTGCTTAGGTGGGTATTTCCACGGACGCGGCCATTTAACTTATGGGGTGGATGTGGAGAAAATACGATTGATGGGTGTGCTACAGGTATGATGACTTGCCCATCATTTTGTGGTTGTTCTTTCAGTATGAACTTATGGGCTAGTGGTGTAAACCAAATATCTTCCTCTATGTTCATAATTTTAGTTCTTTTCTTTTTCAGAGACTTGCTATTGTTGCCTGATGTCTCTTTTTATAATACCTTCTGATGAACTAGTAACTTCAGCTCTCTTTTATTTTTGCATGACCTCCTGGCTTGCTGCCTAATCATGTCAGACAATGTTTTATCCCAGAAACAGAACAGGCAAATTTTAAATGTCAAAAGTCAAACCTCTGATTATTTTTTTATTATAAAGGAATGAGTTTTATAATCTTTTATCTCAGGTTGCTATTTTGCTTGCATAGGATTCTGTAAATTGAGATTTTCTTGGGAATTTTGCCAATGCTTTTTCTTGTAGAGGATCGCAATTGGCTATCTGTTGGCTTCACTATTGGAGATTTGGCTTATTAATAATACTGTCGTTGATTCAGCAGTGGCATTTGTGAAGAGATACTCTTTCCAGTTGTGAGTATCACATAGTATTCTATTCTTCCCTGTATCTTAAGTTATTAATTGTGGAACATAGGACATTTTATCCCTTTAACTTTATTTTTATTGCTTGAATCCTTGTTGGTTTTTAAATTTAGTTATATTCACCTTTTAACTATTAATTATGATATAATGCAGGGCAGCTGGAATCTTACTAGGTTTATTATACATGATCCTGCTGTATGGCCTATATGTTCCAAACTGGACCTTTGAAGTCTCAACTCTCAGCATAACCTCCTCACTATTTGGAGTTGGTACTCAAACTGTGAGTCAAACCACATATTATTCTGGAGCATTTTTTGGGAATATTTCTGTTGATCCGTGTTTCATCAGGGTTCATGCTCGATAGAGTTTTAAGTTCAGTATTCTGAAGTCTTCTATCTGAATTATGACTATCCTTCGCTCCAATTGGCCTCTTGAACCTCATACAGTGGCCTAGTTCACATTGTGAGGAATTTGAAGCCGTAATTTCCTTAAAGCATCTCTATGTTCATTTAAAAAATGGTGGAACACACTTTAGATTCTCAGTTGATTGATTCAACCCTGGTTGCTTGGGAGTATAAAAGACTAAAAGTCTATTGGAACTTTATTTGGGCTTAGCAACAAATCCTTTGAAAATGATAGTAGGAGTATTATTTCAGAAATATGCGTAGCAACACAAGTTTGAAGCGAACTTGTTATCTGAAAATTTAATTGATTCTTTGTGCTGCTTGTTTAGTGGTTTCTGCTTGTTTTCGTCTTTTATTGCATCTACATTTCCATTGCGTTAATATGCTCCAATAAGTGATGTTGAGGAAGATGCTAGAAACCTGAACACATTATTGTATTTTAACTGATGAAATTGCTTTTCTTCATGATTCTTTCTGCACATTGATTCGCATCTATTTATTAGGTTCAATGTGGAGTGAGGAGCAGTCTCGAACCTCCTTGCAATGCGGTTGGCTTTCTTGATCGATTTCTTCTTGGTGAACATCATCTGTATCAACGTCCTGTGTACAGAAGAACAAAGGTTGCACTTTCCTCTCTTTTCTTGCACTTTTCTTTTCCTGTGTTTGGTTCTTGTACACCTTCCAGTTCTATGTGTCTTATATTTTTCATTTGTTACTTCATATTATTGTTGTGTGTGTGTTGTTGTCTACAGGAATGCAGTGTCAACTCTCCAGATTATGGACCTCTACCTCCAAATTCACCAGCGTGGTGCTTGGCTCCGTTTGACCCGGAGGGCATCTTAAGGTTAGGGAATAAACACTTCGTTTCTCCGAGTACTGTCTTTCAGGCAAGCCAGTGTGTCCATCCTGAAACTCTGCAAACTATTGAATATAGAGATCCAATACCTAAATTAGGCCTCAATCTTCTACAGTTAATGTGGTAATAAATGGATAGAAGTGAAATAGATTTCGAGAATAAAGCATGTTTTTGTAGTTCATATACTGTTGTATAGTTGCGGTCCATTAAAATCTACTACAATGGGCAAACGCTGAAAGCTAAAATTTATTGATTATGAGGCTTTTGTAGTAGGAGTAAAATGTTCTCTTGGAGGATCAATTTTCTTAATAAACAATTCTTGCTAGCATATCCAGTATATTACATAGTGATGTCACATCTGGGGAATGATATCATCCTTATAATCTTGTGTGTCAAACTAAACAGCCGGGCTCTATCTAACTGATCCACTGTTCTGAGTTTCTGGTTATTGATGGTTGTCCCCTTGATGTTTGGCTGGCTTACTGTTTGTTTCATATTGAACAATTTTCTAGCTCTATGATGGCTGCCATTACATGTTTAATCGGATTGCATTATGGGCACATTCTTGTGCATTGTAAGGTAATGTGCATTTTTTGTTGCCTGACAACATGGCTATGAACATTTGAGTTGCCTGTTGCTTTGTAAGTGTACTATAATTAAGTTTTTTATCCTGTCCTCTCCACTTTTTCCCTGCAGGACCAGATGCAGAGGGTAATTTTATGGTCAATATTGTCGCTTCCTCTATTAATCGTTGGCTATCTTTTGAATGTTGTAGGTATATTGTCCTTTCTGGAGTGTGTTTAGATTTTATATCTCCATCTGTCTCTATATTTCTTATAAATAGTAGAAACACATTTTTTATATTTTCAGGTGTTCCTTTTTCTAAACCACTATACACATTAAGCTATATGTTCATCACAGCTGGAGCATCGGGAATTTTTCTAACCATTATTTTCTACCTAGTGAGTTTATTCTTAGAATAGTTATTTCTCTTTTCTTCCACATTTTTCATGTGCTTTTTTAAAATCAATTTTCTATTTACTCATATTTAAATGGAACTACACAATCCAGGTCGATGTCAAATGTATTAGGAAGCCGATGGTAATATTTCAGTGGATGGGAATGAATGCTCTCATCATTTATGCTCTGGCTGCTAGTGACGTCTTTCCAGAAGCTCTGCAAGGTTTATACTGGCGTTCACCTGAAAACAACCTGGTACTTTTCCTAAATTTTCTATTTTTAGGCATTAGAGCCATTTTTATCTGCCTAAATAGATGGCTTTAGAAATTATTATTCAAACATAAATCCTGGAAAATCTTCATCAAATTGGTGTCGGAGTTAAACCCTTTCCCAGCTGCACACAGACTAGAGACCTTCATACTGGCGGGATAAGGGTTAACATTGAGTCCTTGGCATGCAATAAGACTCGAGAAAACTTGTTTTTATATTAAGTTTAAATATGTCAACCTCGTTGCATGGGCGAGATAAAATTGAAAGAGATTATCTCATATAAGAAAGTTGGTTATTATGCAATCTCTTTTCAAAACGAGGAAAATAGATCTTAAAGTGCAGTAGTCATGTCCAGTAGTTAATTTGTACTCTTGTAGAGGCGGACAGCCGTTGGACACAAGGGATGCGTGTTGGTTCCCTCAAAGGTCCTCTAGAACTCATTAGAGACCATGAATTGTTAATATCCTTCAATTATGCCCTTCAAATTCTATGCTTTGTCCCCTCCGTGCATGAGAGGTGCATAATACTCCTTTTTTACATTATCTAGTTAGGTGAGTTTTAAAAGAAAACCAAACTAGTTAAATTGTAGATTGAAATTTAAAGCACCTGGATTTTATCCTTTATTTCATCGGATCTGTGTTCTGTGGGCTAACTGTAAATGTAACATGGTATGTAGGTTGATTTCTCCGAAAGGCTATGGCAAACGTTGCTTCATTCTGAAAAATGGGGTACATTGGCATTTGTTATGGTTGAGATCTTATTTTGGGGTTTAGTTGCTGGTTTCCTCCACAAGAAACGCGTATATATAAAAATATAAGGTCTCTTTTAGGCAGTTTTCTTTTGAATCATTGAAGACCAAGAAAATACCAGTGGTGGTACCCTCAAGGGTATGATAACTTAATTGTTCTTCCTGGATTCTGTATGTGAATTAATTGCATTTTCTATTTTCTTATCAGTAATGAGGAGCTTGAAAATGATAACCACCTTGTTCGTAGCATTGCTTTATGGCATTTTGTTCATTATCGAATGGACAACTTAAATGGCCTCTGGATCTTCTTTATCAAGGCCAAGTATGGAACGGCTTGGGAAAAAGTGAATGGGGTAACAGATAAGAGAGAACCCTTTTTATCTTGACTTCACCAAGATAAGAGACCAGGAATAGTTTTTTTTAAGAGAAAATTGCATCATTTGTCCCCAATATATTATCCGAGTAGAAAATTGGTCCTTGCCCTTTTAGAGGATCGGGTTTTTACAAATTCTTCATCATAATTGCACAATGATCTAACAATAGAAATAGCCTAAATATTTGTTAATTATCAGCGACTTTCTTGAAAACATCCACGAATGTGACTATTAATAACCTGACTGAATTCGTGTTTCAATTTCATAGAAAGTTTTTGTATGTACAGTTGTTAGAATTAGATAGGTTTATGCGATCTTAACCAATTCTTGCGTTTCTGATTGGTTCCTCATAAGCCATGTAATCGCACGACGGGTGCCTTCCCATTGCAATGGATTCTTGGTTCCTTATCGTGGAATTTTATTACTTTGCCCATAGAATCATAATCTTCCAACTTATATTCGATTTATGAAGCGTAGCCTCCACCTATTTTCATCGAATAGGGATAACTCTTTTTTAAAAAAATAATAATAAACACTAATTAGTGGTCACAGTAAAAGAAGGTATCCAAGGATTGGCAATCACTTTAGGTATATGTTTTCTTCTTTACCAAGATAGTTTTATTCATAACTTGCTATAAAGAGTGCTTGCAAAGGGTGGCTTTCGGCCAGCAAAACTTTACTTCAAAACTCATCCATTCTACCTTTTCATTCCACCATTGTCCCCATGACGTAACCATGTAACGTGATCTTATTACGTTTTCGAGTCATTTCATTTAAAAGTTTAAGATGCTAAAATAAATAGTTTCGATTATATCTTCGACGCCCTCTTAATGTGAAAGCCTGATAAACTTTTTTCTATCTAAGCTATGAATTTTTATAAAAGTTGGACAATACGTCTCGTATTCCGGATGCCTCTATGCTTCGATACTACATTGAACTACCTACTTTAAGCTTTAAGCAAGGCATATATAAATCGAGCCAATCTCATGCCCTTTACACACCTTGTAATCTGTCGTTCTCTTCAACCCAGTCAAGAATTACAATTCCAAAAGCTATTTATATGGCCACTTCTGAACAAGAAATCAATGAATTTTCAGGTACCAGTGATAGCTGCCATTGCCACCAAAATGAAGCTCAAAAGGGCAGAGAAAAGGCTGAATCTCACATGGGGAAAGCAATTGCACACAGAGCAGTATATGGTTCAAGCCATCGAAGGGGGAGAAGTACAAGGCTCAGAAATAATAATGTCAAAACATTGCCAAGTAGGCTAAGCAAAGTTTCCATCGCTGATGAACCTGAAACTTAGCACTTAAATGTTTCCATTGCTGATGAACCTGAAAATTAGTACTGTGTTCTTGATTCTTCAAGAGCTTGAATTTGATGCAATCTCCTTCTGTAGCTTCATAAAATTTACAACGATGAAATTATATAATAAAGTTTTCGTAATCTTGCATAAGATTTAGCATATTATGTGTGTATAAATATATTTTCCTAATTTCACCTTCCTTGCATGGTACAACCCGATTTTGAACGATAAAAGATCACAGTTATCAAATGATTGAAGGCGGGGAAGACCCATTTGTGGCCTCAGTAGATCAATCAATAGTATAATCTTACTCTTCACTTCTTTGATAAGAAACCCATTTTCGAGGCCATAGAACAAGAGTTAGCAAGTTCTTCGCGCACCGAGTAATGACTCAGAAATAGCAGGGAAGTTGTTACCATCGAGAACGACAGCCACTTTTAGGCACTAGGCCCGTGTTAGTCAACTTACTAGGCCAATTCAAGGAATGGGAGGGCCGAAACATGTGTGTCGTGTTTTTCAGGCTGCTCGAGCCTAGCACCAGATTATGCACTGAGACCAGAGCTCCTAAATAAAGAACAGTACTCGCATCAAAATGGAAGTGAAAAAATCAGTTGATTAACGATTCATGATTTCGCACTACATTTCAAAGGAAATGAAATAACAGATTAAACTAGAGTTAAAAAGAGGGAGAAACAAAGCAAGAGAGGAAGAAGGTTGTTAATTTATTGTTTCAACTGCTTCTGACAGAAAGATTACACTCTTTTAAACTTGTAAATAACCATCATCACAGTTTCTTAAATACCAAATATTGTTCACACTAAATCTATCCTTCATTTATTGATCTCCGTCAACTTAATGCATAAATTTTTATTCCATAGTAGATGAGTGAAAACTGATTATTAGCTACAAAAAGAGGCCATGAAATGTGTTAGATGGAAAAAGAAGGGGTGTTTTGAAGCCTCATTTGTTGGTAAAATTGAGTGATGAACTGCTCGGTTTTGGCATCGATCATTTCATCTCCAGTGAGGGAATTGAATAATGTCACTCTCGAGTTCACAAAGGTTGGTTGCAGAAGCGTATTGGCTCATGGTATCACCTGAGAGGTAGGAAGGCGTGGGAGAGGCACCCGAGCAGATAATTTCCTCAGAAAAGGGAGAGGTGGATGGAAATGGGGGCGACGGTGGCAGTGGTCGATCATCGTCTTGGAGATGCAAAGGTCTCATTGATCCCACAAACTTCTTCCAATTTCCATTTGAAGGCTGGGTGGATTTAGTAATCTGTTTAGGTTTGTCATTGGATCGATTCTTGAACATGAGAAATGCCACCTTGACGAAGTTGAAGGCTCGTTTCTTTTGCTTCTTGATCTCATTGTTATTGTTTGCCATATCCACCTCTCTCCCTGCAAGAATATATGAATTCTTGAGTGTACTCTTTACGTCTTGAATAGACATGTATGTACTAATAACATTCCTTAAATTCACAAAAAAGGACTACCATGGCCTTAAAACTAATTGAAATGATATAAGGATCAAGGACACATGGGTGATTTCAAATGAGAAAATGTATAGGCCGGTGAATCAAACTAAAGAATAGGTGAATCTTATGGCTAGATTCAATTATTTTGATGCCACAACCCTCCAGATGTCCTTAATTTTCTCCAACCCACTGCTTCATTACTAAGTCTATACTAATTTTTCTAAAGTTGACTTTTTAGTCCATGAAATGCTTAAAAAAAATATAAATTAAATGCTCAACACACTGGAATGACAAACCAATAGTGATTCATAAAAAGATTGATAATTAGGCCAAAGAAAGATCCCCTGTTATGAAGTTTATTATGCCATCTTCAACCATTGCACTAAAATTTGAGGTCAGTTTTGCACCACTTTAGTGCAAATCTTGCACCAAGTTTAATCATCTTCAACTAAAAATACCAAAAATTGTATCAAATGAATAGTGTTTCAATTTTTACTGTAGTTACGAGTGAAATCAAAGTAAGTAAATTTCAGGATTTGTAATTTCTGTTGGAATATAGTCGTGTTAATGAAATCGGATTATCACATACCATATGTATAGTTTAGATACCGATTTTAAGCATACCGTATATGTAATATACTGTATATGCAGCTTACCATATTTACAGGAAGCTTACCGTATATGCAGTTTACCGTATTTGTACCTTATCGTATTTGACAGCTCACCGTATATGGCAGTGCAGCTCACCATAAATGGCAGCTCACTGTATTTGATAGCGAAACTCACCGTATATACGTAAAATTAGCACAAACTACTTTTATTAAAATAACACAGATTTTTTTTTCAATAGAAAAATCGTATAAGTAACATACATATACCGAATTGCATTTATCAACTTTTAGCAAGAAGATCAGATATATATATTTTTTAGTTTTATTTTTATTTCTAACATAAATATAAAAATAAGTAAAATGCAAAATATATGAATCTAGTAAATTGCAAACGCGCAAATCGCTAAATAAATAAATAACTTGCAAGAATAAACTGTAGATATGCAAATTATAGAAGATAAATAAAATTTCAACCCGAGGCCTGTGCGAGTATAGTTTCCTTAAAACAGATTCGCCCCCTCACCGTAAGTGCTTGAGATTCAATCCAAGCGTCTGTTTTCTACGATCGATAAAACCTGTAGTATCTGAGTACCACAGAAACTACTCCGGGGAATTGATACAGTGCCTGAACAATATCACCACGACCTTACTGGACAAATATGCGTATGCAGGAAGAACTACTGAAAACAGTACAGATACAGAGAGGAAGAGGACGAATTTTTCATCTGTGTAAATTGAGTTTAATTATATAGATTTAATTTGTTCATTAACCATTGGAGTTATATCAGTTTCTGGAGTTTCAGAAACTCAAAAGTCAGTGGAAAAAGCAAGAAAAAAATTGCAAAATGTGGGCTCTCCAAAGGGGCCAATTTTTGCTTCGTTCGGTTTGATATTCGTGTATGCAGATCGCGCCCGCACCCAAGTTCAAGGTCCGAAGGCAATTTTGGTCCGAGATTTGCACCTCCCTGTGCGCGCAGGTGGAGAAAGCCTCTATGCTACACATGATTACACCATTCCAAAATGTAATTCTATATAAAGTGGTTCTTGCTTTCATATTTCTTCAATGTGGAACTAACTTCAATTTTTTCTACATAACCATCTTCCAATGGTCATCATTGAGCTCCAATTTCTCATTCACCTAAGCTTCATTTCGAGCAAATAAATATATGATTTTAATGCTCTCACGTATCAACTTTGATCTTTTAAATTGGACCAACGGGTCCCACCGAAAATTTTGCAAAAAGTGAGCTATTTAGTCATTTTTTCCAACAATCCCCTAAATGAATGAAAATTGGGAGAGACGTGAGATTGTGAGACACGAGACTTGGTGATCGTGAGACACAAAACTAGGTGATAAAGTTCAATGGTTGAAGCCTGCATAGGATATGTAGAATTACCCTTTGAACATTTCCTTGTGAAAACATATTTACTTTACTAGCCGACTAGTAGACGTGTCGTCCTTGAACTGTTCTGTCATTTATGTAAACGATGATATACTTCACACAGAATTCTTCCTAACACAATTCAGTTCTTATTATTATGTTCGTTTTGGCTATGAATATATGCATGGTTCTGTGAGAGTTCTTAAGAATTGAGCCCCACACAACTCTATTAGAAGTAGCCCCACTTCTCTCTTACATAGGTGATTTCTTACTACAAGTAACCTGCATTACTTGGCTCGATTTTCGACGCATAAGAATCATTAAAAGCCTATTGCTTATCCTCCATCCTTACGGGCATCACTGTTACCTCATAGATATGGACAGGAGGTAACATCCCCACAGTGATTTTATTAAAC